TTGGTCCCCCTGTTATTATCCCACCGCTCCCCCACCAGTCCCCCCTGTTCCTACCCCACAGCTCCCCCACCAGCCCCATCTTTGTCCCCTCCAACCCGAACCAGCCACCCCTTTGTTCCCCCTACTCCTACCTCCCCATTCCCCACCACCCCATCCCGATCTCAGCCCTAACCAGCCCCCCTTGGTCCCCCTCGTGCCTACCCCACCGCTCCCTCACCAGTCCCCCTGTTCCTACCCCACAGCTCCCCCACCAGCCCCCCCTTGGTCCCCCTGTTCCTACCCTACAGCTCCTCCCAGCCCCTCCACCCCCCCTTCCTATGCCACAACTCCCCCACCAGCCCCATCTTCATCCCCCTCCAACCCAAACCAGCCACCCCTTTGTCCCCCCTGCTCCTACCTCCCCATTCCCCACTCTTCCTACCACCCCATCCCCATCTCAGACCTAACCAACCCCCCCTCCCTTGGTCCCCCCTGTTCCTACCCCATCACTCCCCCGCCAGCCCCCCCTTGGATCCCCTGTTCCTTAGTCTCCTGTTCCTAACCCACAGCTCCCCCCCGCCACCACTTCCTCCCCCTATTCCTGCCCCCCCAGCCACCCCTTCCTCCCACCGTTCTTACCCCACATCTCCCCCATTCCTGACCAATCCTTTCACCCCATTCCCAGCCCCACTCCAGTCTTAACCTCAGCCACACACACCCTCCCCTGTTCCTACCCCCACTCTTGTAGCCTTCCCCATTCACACACAGCGAAAATGGACAAATAACTGAAAGAGGCTTTTTACAGTGTGAAGGCTGAGGCAGGTTGGGGAGCAGGAGAGCTGGGTGCTGGGCTGAGCTTTAGAAGGGGGCTTTGGGACAGAATTAAGTCCCAATCTCTGAAACAACCCTGCTGGAGGTGTCTGTTCCCACGCGCTCTGTGTGTAGCACAGACTCTGTTGAACGGCAGCACAAAGGCAGCAGGCTCATAGCTAGTATTGCATGGTGCCCATAATTCTGTGTGTGACATTGGTCAGGGTGTGGTAAAGTTCCTGATTGAAAACACACAGCTCAGTCTAGAGAAGGCAACTGCATTTTGTCCCAGGCACGTGGGATGGACTTTCCACTCTCCTGTTTTTCAGGCAACTCTCACTTCCCCAACATTCAGTACTAAACCCCAAGCCGTTTCCTTAACAATAAGTGTTTCCAGGTATAATTAAATGACTGGAACATTCCCAAGAGGATATTGTGTCTCATTAATTTATACCCTCTAGGCCTGGACTTTCTAGTCAGGAAACCATCAAAGAATACGGTACTTATAAAGTACGTACGCAGGCCCTTATCCTGGTAGCTTAATTACCAGGGCAACTTTCCCTCTTGGCAGCAGCGAGTCAGTGAGTGCATTTTTCAAGCTCGGTTGGGAGGCCTGGCTGGTCACGTCCTTTTTATTAACTCCTCAGGTGGTATTCCTCTGGTATGCACAGTGTGTTTAATTAGTAATATCTACCTCTTAGTCCGTGCCTTTCAACCACAGATTTCAAAGTATTCCCCCAAGTTACAGATGGGGAAACTGAGGCACGGGGGGGGGGGGGGAGAGTTGGGCGGGGGCAAAGCTTTGTTTCCCCCCCCCCAAA